GTACATAAACTTTTCGGATTGACTGTATAGCCAATACATCCTTAATCGAAATGTTAATGCCACTGGCTTAGTTAGTCGATTAAATTAGACTAATAAAAAGCAGCGACTTCAGCGAGTTGAGTTAAAGCAAGTGTACGAAACGTGTCTTTACCGATGTAATTCGATTTTACAGAGAGTGTGACTGATTCGGAGTTGGAAATTCGATTGTGAACGCGAATCTCTGTCGAAATCAGAACTGAATCATAATTGAAATTCATATGAATATCATAACGTGACTCAATCGCCGATACACATAACCGCAGTTGGAAATTACTGCAACCATGCGGTATTCATATCGCAATTAAATCTGCAACGTAAACTACCTTCTATTTGCGAAATCGTTTCTGTTCTTCAAGTATGGATCAAAAGTATTCTCAAAAGTAAAGACACGTGTGTCAGCTGTTATTGTACCGTCGAACGTTCAGCACCATCGTTAATCTCGTTAGTCAGATATTAAAATAGTGGTCGCAGAATCTCTCCTCAAATATATATTTTTTTTAGCGAACTCCGAGGTTGGCGGAAACCTTGAGGAAAGATTCTAATTGTTATAATAGGCTTCATGCTTCTGTTAATTCACTTGGATCGATTAGCCAAGGCTTTCGAAATACGTGAGCTAAGACAACGTCTACCGTGAAGATCGATTTAAAGATCGGGTTCTCTTCAACGAGGATTACGGTGTCTATTCGTTCGGAAATTAAATTTTCATCGTAGTCTGATCAAACTTACCGACCGCACAGTCCTCGTCAGAGACGCAGCGAGAAAGAACGGAATAGAACGTGTGAATGAAAAATTCATAGGCGTAGCGATAGTAGAATTTACACGTACATATATTAATTGTCAAACGAGGTATCGTTAGAATCGAGAGAGCTCCGTGGCGTGAAAATAATTGTAAACGGTCAATCGGACAAATGCCAAGGTCCGTTCACGCACGTGAAACACGCGCGAACGAATAAAAAGTATAGGGGAACCATGCAAACCGCTGTGCAGAGAGCGAGCCGAGGAAATTTACAAGGCTTTCGATTTTTATTTCCAACGAGGATCTTCTTTTCTTTTGTATTTTTAAGTCGAACGCGTGTGTTCACCGCTTTCGTTTTCGCTCGTATATAATACGTTCACGGTGAGAATCAGGATAGTGAAAGAGAGAGCGAAAGAGAGCGAGAGAAAGGCAAACTTGTATCCGGTATCCCCCAAGACTGACGAAGAAAAGTGAGTCCAGAAACAAGAAAACGCGCATGTGGTAAGCCGCGATAAGTGTTTGCGTGTATAGCTTCGATCGTTTTCGGTTCAGCCTTGTTTGCTTCGGGTTCGGACGTACGTAAGTGTGAAGAAGTTCGTTCAAGCTATTAAAAAAGTGGAGATAAATAGAATATGAGTATACACCAAAGCGACGTAGACGTGCTTAGATCGTTTATACCATTCGAGGCTTTTCGGCAACCCCCCCTGATAATTCGAGAGCGTCAATCGTGACTCTCATAAATAGTAAAAGACCCGAACAGTATAAACTGGGAAATGACTCTCGAGGACTTTTCGCATCTTCCGATCTGTTTTTCAAATCGTTTCCGTGGAGTTACAGCGAAGGGTAATCAGAATGTACAATAGAGAATAAATTAAAAAAAATAAATAAATAGGACGGTTCGCAGAGCAGTGCACACAGATAAATAAATAGGAGACAATTATATATTTTCGGGCCGACAAATCTCGTTCTAATTTCGAATCCGAGAAACGTACCTGCGGTTCCTCTATTGCACACGTCATTCGCGTATTGCCTCCTGCACATATCTAATCTGCAATGTAACAACAAAAAAAGTTCTTCTTTATCAGATGAATTTACAGTCGGCTTTTACCACGTCACGGGACGGTCGTTGAAACAATGAGTCCTTCGAATCTCGACGAACCATAGCCACGACACTTTCGTAGAAAATAATACTATCTGAATGTACAGAATCCACACGGTGCAATATCCAAGGCATGTTTGATCGTCTATTGTATCGAGCACGTGCAGATACTACTTGGTTTAACGAATTCCAAAATAAAAATCACTCAGATATTCAGTGACACAATACGTGCATGAAAGAATGTTGCAGCTTCTTCAAACGTTTTAGTAATTTTGTGTATTCAACAGTATTGATCCACGAGAATCGTCATTAGCTCGTGATAGATAAAAGCAAATACGTCGCGCACACCAGTGGTTCGAAGTCCTCCGAGATCGTTTAGGATACAGCGTGAAATTACGATAAAGCGAGCTCACTACGAGCAGCACGCGTGTAAACAAATCGCCAATTAACGAGCGTTGCGTTTTAAGTGCCCTCGATTTTTTAATTCGCATGGAAGAATAAACGTCTTTACGTGTATCGACTCGGCTGCTGGGAGAAACAAATTACGTGTTTCTTTCGTTATAATTATTCGACACTAGGAATTGAATTTTTTACACAAGCGTATCGATTCTGTGTTTCGATAAAATAATGTTCAAGACGGGTTCTACTGTTGGTATCCACGAGTGGCTGTAAGACTACGTCCGGTAGTGATCAATTAGGATAAATGACGTGTTATAAATTATACGTATTAGTGCGCCATTACCTTTTCAAATAATCTATTTGATACTTTACTCCTCCGTGAGATTAATAATGAATATGCATAGTGTTCGACGAATTACTTCTACTAGAAGCCGTGGAATGCTTCGAATAATTGTCAAATGGATGTTTAACACCATATATACAGTCTACTGACTTGAATCGTCAAAAGAGCATGCCTCCTCGTTTATCAGAATGAAAATTCTTCGATATTTATCAAATTAATGATTCATAAATTTTATTTGGAGAAGAGAGAGAGAGGGTGTCTGCTTTGAACGATTCAGCCCCATAAATCCACCATATGCCCATCGAGGTACGCGTTTATTGCACCGTCAAAAACTACGTGTACAAGCTAGGGTGTAATTATACTGTACAACGGTAATTACGTTAAAAGGAAAGATGCGAGATAAAATACGAAAAATAAAAAGAATAATAATAATAATAATAATAATAATCGGAGAAAGGAAGCGTGATCGCTATGTAATAAACCATACCGGCAGTTCCCTTAGTGCAGCGGCCGCCTTTCCTACGACGGCACATATCATACCTGTTTTGCGAAATAAAAATCAAACAGTAGGTATGAAATCACCAGGCTGCTGTGGTAAACACATTAATAGCATAATCGTCGGGGCTCGCAGAACGGATTTTTGAACGATCCAAAAATGCGTTCTCGAATTTTCACGCATTCTCAAAATTGATCAGTCATTACGTATTCCCCCCCTTTAGAGCTTCATTCTATAATTTATTCGACGCGATTTAAGATTCGTATAAAAATCAGCCCTTTCGCTGCTACCGTTAATACAGCCGTGGCGAAAGGGTCGAACAGAGACGGTCGGGTATTAATCGGAACGCGGAAATGGTGATTTAAAGAAAAGAACACTCTTACTTCGTAACGGCAACGGCGATGTCGTACACCGGAAGCCGTCTCTCTCGGAAGAGATATTTGCCCATGTCGGTCAACGCGGCTGCCGAATCGATCGCGTCCCGTCCGACGCGATTCCTCTCCAAATACGGCGTAGCGTCTCTACCCTGAAAGATAATGTTCAAGAACACCGAGAGTGAAAGTCTTGGGATGTTGGCGCGCGTCGACTGAGAGGATCGTCTTTTACCCGTGATATAATAATCCCCGCGATGCTGATTCGAATTTTCGGCCCCTTCAGCAGCTTGTACCTCAGATCTACTCCGTTCCAGAACGACACGAAGTACCTTTTGATCTGAACGTTGTCACCGCCGTGTAATCTATGATACGAATCGGAAATGCATAATGAAATAATTTGTTGTTTCGTAATTAATTGTTTGTAAATTGTTTTGTAATTAATTGTTTGTTGAGATTTGTCAGGACTTGTTTTACCTGTAACCGTCGTAGTCGACGATGCAGAGGATCTCGGGGTAGATGACGTACGGCGCCTCCCTCTTCGTTCTGGCGGTCGTCGAACGTTTCGTTCTGAACCTCTTGGCCAGACGGTCGGGCTCCATCAGTGCTGAAATCGATGTTTAATCACGAGAAACCGATCTTGCGCGGGATTTCACATTCGGTGTGGTAACACGTGAAAGATCACTCACTGAAATCGGTGTACTCGTCGCCGGTCGGACGAGCCGCTTTCTTGAACACCACATGATGACTCGTGCGCTTCAAGTCCCCTTTACTTTGCGCCACGCTCGGCAGTAGTTCTTCTCCGCGAAGACTCGAATTCTTGTTAACTATTTCTTCTATCCTATCTGGCAGTGGTCGTATCACCAGCTCGGAGCCGATGTCGCCGTCCTGGTCAAAGCCAGGATCGTCAAATACGTTAGACATTTTATGGAACGGGCAAATTTTATTCCTATCGCGATTCGTGACGGCAGGGAATGACTTTAGAAACGTTTCGACTGTTGGGCTGTTAAATAGTTTGCAGACTTGCATGTACGAGCCGGTACGATCACCTTGTTCGATTCGCGATTCGAGAGAAATACATGCATTGGTCAGATCGATGGAGGGAGAGTGAAAGCGAAAGGTCAGGACACGCGGGGTCATATAGAACAACGCTTTTTACGGCATTACGTAACCCAGGCCAACGTTGTCCGTTGTCTTTTAAATTTCATGTCGCATTCTTTTGCAATCGTTGACATTAAAAGTACTGACGAAGCTAATAACTCGGAGCGTTCCTCGAGAGTCTTTATAACAGAAAACGCGATACTTGGTTCACGATCGACGCGAGATGTTAATCGTTTAATCACTGATTAGAACGAACCGATAATTAATCCTCTTCGTTCGCGGTCTATACTTCCGTTAATAGGATTTTAGCAATTTTCGAGACTGGCAACAATCGTGCAATAACTCGGCCCGAGTTTCCTTTATGACTTCATAAGAGATCGAAGTTCCGAGTGAAATTGAGTCTCGGTTGGTTGGACGCGCAATCATTGGGAACAGTTGCCCTCTTCTTTGAGTCACTGTTCAGGATGGACGAACCGATATGGGAAATTTTATTGCTTCTTTTATTCTTTGCCGAGGCAATACCTCGGCCAGCTGCTTTTTGCGCAAAACCGCCGATTATGACAGTCACAGAATGTCAAAATAGTTCGTAAAACTTCGACACTCTTGTAATTCTACAGTTCTCTACGTTTGATTGAAATTGGATAGAATCAAGAGATGATCGACACTATTCGCCACTTGTCTTTCGTCAATTTCGATAAAAATTCCCATTTAAAATCGTATCCAAGTCACGGGACTCAGAATTCTGCAACGTTTTATCATTCTCTCGATCCCAGATTTCGCGAGCATCTCTAATCGTGACCCTGGTAATTATTCCTACCAACGAATCGCGGTATTTCAGTAATTATAGCAAAGAGGGTTCCTCAGCCGGCAGCTCGGTTGACGAAAGACGAGCCGCAATAATAGCGAGAATGTCGAAAGGTGCATTAAGAAAGAATGGGCCTCTTACAACGAGCACTTTCCCATTCGCGTCTCGGTGCAGCAGAATGGATGCCATGTTCGTCGTGTCTTGATAGATGTCACCGATTTCTGTGTCGGCCTGAAACGGGAAGAACAATTAAAACCGCAATGTTCGCAGATGGTCACTTGGACGACGTGACGCGAACTCGTTTGGTCGACAGGGAAAAAAATCACCGCGAGGACACACCGCGTTTTCGCGAATGATGAAACGCGTCGAGATTCGACCTCGAAATTAAATTACGCTAATTAAAAAACGAGACATAGCAAGTTCCGTTGTTTCGTACGAACACACAATCGAAAGATAGAATCCTTTTATACGATTACGAACTTCCGATAATAGATTTGGAAGTATAATTAATATAATTAGAGGCGTTTTTCCCGTTGGAGACTTACATCCGTCACTTTCTCATAATGGAGGCCATCGGGTTGCGACACGTTTTTCGTGACAGTCCACATTGGCAAGTGGTTCGCTGTCAGCAACCCTTCTGTGGGCTTCAACGACAGACTGATGTCTCTTCCGAAGGCCTTCAAATGTACCTCCGGCCTCCCTACGCTCCTCTTGTGCACCGAATGCAGCACAGGCACAACTTCGTACGTTGGTACTGAAATTGAAATCGTGTCTCCTTCATCGATTCTCCCATTTAATTCTAATCGCGAATTTAACGTCCCAGAATCGATCGATAAGAATCCCCAGTGAGAAAACAATGTCTGACAGTAAATCTATGTACTGATGACCGTCTACCGGTATTAAATCTTTGTTTCATCGTGATTACCAGATTCGTGTCCCGTGTGAAACACCGATAGCATCTCTTCCCTTGTCATGTGTTCGTGGATCTGAAACAGTGACGAAAAAAAATTCACCGTCAACGCGCGTACATGCATTCTCTCGTGACGTTGTCTCGCGCGTCACAGAAAAAAAAGGTCCGATGAATTAATATCTCGAAACGTGTTAAATGTCGTGATACATTTTCGCGCCGCGGTGCCGCCGCGATTACTATAGACAGTTGTTCTCCGGTTAAGTGGGGCATGTTGAAATATTGGAGCAAAAATAATCGTAGTACTATCGTGGGAACTATAACGCGTAATAGCAATACGAGGAAACAAAAAATTTGCCACTTTCGATCTCTCATGCCAGTTTGAGACTTTCACTTCTTAAACAGTTATACATCTTCGCTATCGAAACATATTTAATTCGACAAAATCGAGCGTAATTGTACAATGAATTGAAGTAGTCGACGCGTCGTTATTCTTCAGGGGCTTAAATCGTACGATCCGTTCCATTCGCGGCAGAATTACACGCATTAGTAAATCGCGCGGGTTTCATTAAATCGTCTTGGCACCGCGCGTGCGATTGCAGCGGCTAATTCGATTGCGACGATCGACACCCGTCGAAATACATACGGACACGCGCCTAATAGTTTGCAGAACGAAAGGCGTCGAGCTCGACGAATAGGGGAGTTCGGTGAACGACTCCCTGTTCCTAGCTATATTAGAACCACTTGAAAAGTTTTCCAATCGCGAGCCAAGGTCTAGCATTTGTAAGAACACGTACCGTGTCACAGAAATCTAACCGCAATTAACTATCACGCCTTGCAGCTTCTAAGGTCGATCACTTTCACTCATTACGTTAGGAAATTCAATCACGTGCACTGTCCTATTTGCCACGTTTACCGAATCCATTTATTTATTATTACGTTTCTGGCTGCTTTCGATTCGAGACGATCTCAGAACGTCGCGAACAGAATTATATATACCGTATTTCTAATTTTAATCATTTACGCAACGTGGAGTTGCTTTGGTCAGATTCAGTGAACCCCGTTAAATTTCATTAAAATTCGGAACCGTTCCTTGTGACCTACTCCGATGTTTGCTCGACTTTTAATCGAAATTAGTAAAAATGGTTCAGACGTTAAACGTTGAATACTTTTCGCAAACGATACCGTACGATTTGTCTGGTTAACGATTTTAACGAGGTCGCCGCTCGCTAGCTGTCTCGTTCTACATTGGAGAACCGGATTAACTCGAAAAAGATCTGTATCAGCGCGTCGCTCGCCTAATTGTATGCGTACTACGAACTCGCGTCGCGGTCTCCCAGCTGAATGGCAGACAGCTCGCGTTCGCCATTCAACTTTCCTTAAAAAAACGTACGTTTCGCAACGGGGCGGTCAATAAAATTTAATCAACGTCGAACGGTGTGCCGATCTCGTTGCGAGAGTCAAACTTGTTTACAATTGTATTCCGGCCTTGATATAAAAAGGTCGAAATCTTATCGAATTAATCGTTAACACAATACGGTATCTATTGGAAACGCGGCTAGGATCAATTAGAGGATTCTCATTTCCCACGTTACTTTCTTGATCATCAGCCAGTTTCTCAGAAAAGAAATGTTCATGCGCTATCGTCGGTTCCCTTGCGGTCTCATTGTTGAATCTCTATCATTCATTGCAAATATCACGTGCGAATTGACCTTTGGGTAACGAAACATTTCGAGGTTCAGACCGTTTGTACAAGTGTGAACGCGATCATTCGCGGATCTGACTAAATAAATTCACGTCTGTCAAAGTCGAAGTTTGAACAACGCTAATAATTTGCATGTCTACCATCAGAGCTATTCTCATCTTAGCAGTATCCTAAATTCTGTTCATTGACTTTTTTATCAATGAGTAAACATCCACATAAGGAGAGAAATGACACGTCAATAATTAGAGATAGATATAGTATTCAAATTGTCTCTCGATGTTTCATGAAATGAAAAATAGGCGAATTTCTAATATCTTGAATATTGAATGAATCAGTTAGTTTCGTAGGAGCAGATTTTTCAGCGGAAGCCGGTGTTTACGCAGGCTGCCTACGTTCCCGTAATCAGCGTCAAATCAACAATTAACATCGTCTGATTCCGTGAACATCTTGTAATTTCGAGTCAACGGCACCGGCCGTCGCGTTACACGTGTTTCCTTTGTCTCTCGGTGGAAGCTTATGCACGGATCAACAGCACGGCCTTGCCGATCGTTGATGGCACTCGACGACGAGCGCGAGTATCTTACCTTGTGACATCGTACGAGAGGTAGAACGGCCATGCACAGAAGGACAAGGGCACGAATCATTTTGCGTAAAAATATTCCTGATGGGCTGCGTCACATCGCTGAAACACCAAACGATTATCAATCAGAAATCATCATTAAACGTAATTACGATGAATAAAAAAACGAAACGGTTCGTCTAACGTCGGTCAGCATCTCAATTATCGCTCTCGTTGTTCGTGATCGTGAACCGCGTGTTTCAGTCGAATTAGTGAACGTATAAATAAAGAGTACAGTGATTTATTTCCATCGGACGCTGTACATAATTCATCGTCGTTTAGAAATTTTCACGTACTGCCGTCGGGAATGAGCCGTCTTTTTCTTAACAAACTTACACGATGGTATATTACGCGTTAACGAAGGTGGGGCGAAACAAATTGCCCATTGGACAGAAACTGAGATGTAATTACCGCGAGTCGATGAAGAAACCCGCGGTTACATAATTTTCGCTTCACCCGTTGGCGCGGAGATGAAAAAATAGAATAGAAGAAAAAATAAAAGAGCAGTCGAGAGTCTTGGGATTAGCGATAGCTAACCTGAACGATGGGTCCACGCATCTTCGCGATTTAAACGCGCGACGTGGTCGTATCGTTGAACGCGGACATATGCAACGATCCCGGAAGGAAAGTTGAATATCACGTCGAATTAACGCCTACGATCCGCCGCGGTGTGATAACTTTCGATCGTTCGTCGCGTCGAGACAAAAATCGAATTACCACGAAAGCTCGTGTGTCGTAAATGTCAAGAAATGACGATCCTTCAAAAATTATCCAAGGGGTGAAACAGGACGTAATACCTCCTTGTTTGTATTCTCTGAAAAGGAATATGCCTTGTCCAGGAAATTTCACTTTATTATTAAATTACGTTCTTGTAAGAACGTCATCAATCTTAATGTAAGTGAGTGACGTTGCAAATCCTCTGGTCTTTTAAACGAAAATAACAAATTGCAATCCCATACGTACGTTTATCTACTTTAATAAATTTCCATATTAGTTTCATATCGCGGTTCAGTTTTGCTGCATTAAAATTATTTTTAATTTCGTTAATTCCATTACGACCGACGGAATGATTTCGCTCACTGCGGTAATAAAGTTAACGTATTTAATCGATCGGTTCATTGTTAATGATCTTGTTTTTATCGCAATGAAAGCAGAACCGTATTCCGAGTTCCGCACTAATTGAAATCGCGTTAAGTTAATAATATGTTTCGTATCGCGAAATGAAATGAAAATCGAGCTTCCCATCCTGGGAGTTTGCGTATCAAAGTATCGTGGATTCGCGAGCTTGTATATCACGTCTCTGAAGAATTTCAATGGTCGAACGGCGAGAGGAAATTATCGTATTTCATCCTGTTTCAACTATAATAACCGGAAATTCCATTTACATTGAATAGAGCGTATCTCGGGCCGATACCTACGCGCTCGGGACTAGTTTGACATTTGAAAATACGGGAAAGCGAGTGAATCAAAGGATACAGTAAATAATTCGGTGAATTGCTCGAAACGACTAATGTGAAATTATTTTTACCACGGTTTTACGAGCGAGAATGATAATGAAGAAACAGTCGGTACCTACGATAGTACATTAACCAGTGCTCAGCTTTCTATTTGTTCTTAAGCCGACTCTTATGTAATAGAGAGCAGTGTCGTGCCGGTTCCAAATGATTTTCTCTAGATATCATGCCATTTTACGTGCACGCTGTACGTGCAAATATGTTTTACGGATGCAAGCAGAAAAATCGTCGTCTTATCTCCCCTCATCGACTTTCCAACGGATTTTATTCCACTGTCGAAGCACTAATTAAAGAGTGAAAAATGTGTGTTACGTTTCGTTGAGAGGAAGTACGAATTTCGTTGTGAAATTCATGGGAAATGGCAAAAGTAAAGCAAGGTATTGTGTTAGGAGCAACGATTTCGTTCGACCTTCGTCGAAACGGGACAAAAGATGTTTTTCCTACTATGTTCACGAGCCTGTGCTGAAATTTGCACTCCGATGCAAAGCCACGTTGAATCACGAGTTTGTTCCAAATCAGACACGTTTTTTCTGAACGCAAAAACCAGCGTTTATTCATGCACATTTGCATATTTGGTTCTCCTCGGTTTAGCTCATTTATGCCTGGTTTCGGGATTTGTTTCACTGTTATTCTTAATAGCTCGATTCCGTTTTTTATTAAGCTATTCTACGGTTTACGTCATCGTCGACTCTTCTCTAGAGCGCAAGAACAATGACAAACGACATAGAAAAGGTTTTTTGGACAATCGTCGAAATTTAGATGCAATAAGCGATTATTTAAATATAATCGAGAAAAAGCTTGTAAATATCGATGACCCGATCGACGTAAAGATCGCCTGATTTAATCCTCGTGAGAAAGATGTTTCCTCGTCTCCGAACAGATTCTCACTTTCGTATTTCAGTCACGGACGCAGGATGCAATTTTGAAAACAGTGCGATCGAAATTTCTGTCGACAGATTTCGTATGATTTTACTCTGCGTACGTACGAATCTTTGAGTGTACGAAATTCGCAGTGAAGTCACGTAGTATTTTATTACGTGTGACGGGAAACGTTCCTTCGGAATTCCCTGTGGTTGTGACGCAATTTTTTAAATACCCGAGTCTCAATAGTTTTTAAAGTCAAAAGTTCATCCGATCATCGATGAAGATTTATTACTCGTATCTTTACGTCAGTGAAAGGGTAATCGCTCCAGTACATCGAAGTTACGAGTAATTACGACTCTGTTCACTTGATCGAAGAATCACAAGTCGGTTTATAAAATGAAAAATCATGAGTACGAAACAGATATTCAATTTGTGGTCCTCCTTTTGTTGTTTCGATTTTGCACGCTGACTTACGATGATAATTAATTAAACTTGAAAGAACGTCGAGGAACATGATCACGACTAAACGGGGATATAATTTTTTGTCAGACTCGGCTAATAAACGTTGTAAATTTTTAAGGGACCCGTGAAATATGAGAATGTGTCCCGAACGATCGTATCCAGTTATGTTGATTTCACATAAACTTTCATGATTCCTGGAAATCGCGTCCCGTCAGTGAAATGAACGGTCCGCGAATTATTGCGAAATCAGTTTTTTTATTCGCGACGTGTTTGATTAAAAATACGTATTCATTCATCAGAGAGAGGGACGAGCATTGTCAAACCGATTATCCAATCGTGCACGAGAAACCGAGAGTCACCCGTCTATAAATAATACGAAGTATCATCGTAAATTGAATTTTAACAATATTTATAGATCGGCCGCTCGTTATGAAAAATAATCAGCTATTCCAATTAGGGAGATAGATCTCGTCGAGTAACAACAAAGAACACTAATTTGTTTGCTAATTGCTAAAAGCTAAAGGTTACGTTTAGCATATTAAAAAATATTCCTACGCGACACGGTGTAACTTTTCTATCATAACTTGAAATTATTTCCGTAAAAATTGTAGTAATAAATTCTATCTGACCTATCGGTTGAACGTGGAAACTGGAGTTATTAATTGTGTGATATTTTCGCAATGCTATCGACCTTTTTATAAACGCGAGTCATCTTATTTTCCGTGTCGACCGTGTAAAATACGCGTCGTTCATAGATTCTGGATCATGTAACTCTAATCGCCGGTTGTAAATCTCGGATGGCAGCGTCTTGAAAAAGGCGTATAGATATAAATGGCTGTAAAGGGCAACGAGTTTTCCAGCTCGGTTTCAAACGAGTATCCATCGTGAAAAACAATCAGGGATTTAATAATATTTTCTCGGTGATTCATAATTGATCGCGTTCAGTGTTTGAAACCGTTCCGAGTCTTATGAGTGGCAGCGCGCGTTACTTTCTTCTCGTCTTAAATATGCCTGAATAGCAGGAAGCAATGGAAAGTTGTTGCGTTGCCACGAGCGAAACTTGAAAAGCGAATTGCCGCGGTTCGAACGAGCTCAGCTATTCAGGGGCTTAGAAAAAAAAAAAAGATTTCTGGGTGAAATTATATCGGCTGATATGTACGACGGCGTTTGCATGCGAGAAATTCTATCGCTTTTACTCGTTGCCGGAACCGTTCAGATCGATTATCAAATTGATCCAAACGATTTTCCCTTACCGAGATTTATGCGAAACCATAATTCCAAGTATTGATTCTGGACACGAACGATTATTATCAATCCAAGATTCTGTATTACATCGTTCAATTAACCATTTCATGTCGCTTGTTCAAATTCTGTATCATAAACAATTGCGAAACGTGTTTCCGTCGTAAAAGGGATTTTAAATTTATTCGACGGTAAAAATTTGTAGGGAGAAACGACTGATTGGGTCGCGACTCGTTCGATCACTTTCTTTGCAGTTCACTTGCTCGTGTCTAGAAGGAAGTAACGAGAAATCGTTCCTTCCGGTTGGAAGTCTGGTCAGGACGAACTGCACCGACAAGTAAGACCGACGGTTATGGTTAGAACTTATTTTTCTTTTATTGAAATCAGTATACTGGTTGCAATTAACTCGTTCACGCACGCTAGTCAAATGCGATTCTTATCCGTGATCGCACTTCCCGATTCTCAATGCTCGAGCATTCGACTAAACTTAATATCAGTTAATTTATCAAAATACTATATTATATATATAACGAAATCCTAAAATGATCAATACTTTAATTGCATTTTAATGCCCTCCGAATGAATTGAAAGGCTGTTTCCCAGGCGTCGTGACCGTGTCTATTGTCTCTTTAACGACACGTTTCCAAGAACGAGACCAATCTTCACCGATCTTTCGATCGAACGAGATAACTTGATTCGCGTCCTTGATTTATTCATGTTCTCTCCGAGGCACATTCGATATCCGGCTATAACGCAGTGCACGTATACCGTTTCTTAATTCGCGATGTGAAACCGAGAATAATCCACGGAATGCGTAAAACAAAAAAATTAATTTCCATCAACCTTGAAACGGGTTGCACATACATTTACGTGTGTAAAACACGCGTACACACAATTGATCTCAATTATTCTTTATTCATCGGAGAGATCCCACCGTGCAACAAAGGGATCGACGTATCCAGTCCTCATGTTTAGTCATAT